TGTGAAACTATAAAAGTGGAAGCCCAATTTATAATAGCAGCATAACCGGTATTTTATTGATTGTTGTGAAAACATTTCATATCTATTGAGAAACAGCAAATATATTTTGCTATTTAAAAAAAAAAGCCAGCCTAGTATTCATTTTAAAATATTGGCTGTTCAAATAGTTGCTACCACAGAGAGGTAACTGGGCGATGCTTAAAGTTTCTTAAATGAAAAATTAATGCGATTCACAGCTGGATGGTTATATTAATAACACTCTAGACAACAACTTTAAACTTCACATGTGCAAAGCTGATGATAACATTACTTTAAGGAACATATAGGAAGGAAGATAAGAATCCAACTTACTGTCCAAAGCACTTCTACCTACCGAATGATGTGTAAATTGGCAAAATATGGAAATATTTCATGTGACTCTTTTCAATTCTACTATTCCCACCTGCAGCAAAATGAATCGTGATTTTTATGAGTCCTTTTTTTCTGCAGGGGATTCATAAAACTCTCCACAGGCAGCCCTGATCTTCCTTTCTGTTTCATCCTACATGTTGCGCCCGATCAGAAAGACCTTTAAATTTTAATGGGTATCAGTTAGGGATGTCCTTGCCTAGCCATGTTTTTGGCAATCAGTCCTGAAACTGTGTTCAACATGGAATTCTGGTCTCTTTGTCATCCCAGGGTTAAGTATACCCAGGCCCAAATTCATTCACATTTAAGTATTAAAACCCTTCAGCTTACATTCCTTATGAGCATTTTAGGGAATGACTTTTAGGGAGTAGTGAGTTGGTCTAGAGGTGGAGCTCTCGCCTCACATTCAGGAGGCTGTGAGTTCGATCCTAGATAGAGGCAGATATTTCTCTCTCGGGGCACAATGAGAATATATCTGCTGAACAAAACTCTGCATTGGATAGGAAGGACATCCGGCCATTAAACACTCTGCTAGCTCCATTCAAGGGATTATGGCATCGTTAAAAGGTGATTTTAGGGAATGGCCCACGCTGACATCAGTAAAGCCTTTTTCTATTGCTGTGCACACTTCAAAAACGATGCAGACAAAATGTTTTGAATTTGTCTAACCCCAGCACTTTCCTATTATTCATGAAAGCATCTATATCATTTTTAACTCATACAGGTACTCCTCAGTTTACGCCTAAAATTGAGCCCCAACATTTCTGTTGCTAAGCGGGACAGTTGTCCCCATTTGATGACCTTTCTTGCCATGGTTGTTAAATGAATCACTGCAGTTGTTAAATTAGTAACACAGTTACTAATGGCATCTGGTGTCCCCATTGACATTGCTTGTCAGAAGGTCACAAACGGGGATCACGTGACCTTGGAACACTGCAACCGTCATAAATGTGAGCCAGTTGGCAAGTGTCTGAATTTTGACCACGTGACCCTGAGGAAGCTGCAATGGTCGTAAGCGTGAAAAACAATCATAAGTCACTTTTTTCAGGGCCATTGTAACTTTGAATGGTGACTAAGCTAATGATTATTAAGTCAAGGACTACCTGTACATGACTCTGGGAAGCTTACGATAATTTTAAAAAATCATTTAAAAAAAAAAGAACAGCCATTAAGACAACCAGGAAAAAGGCTCCATCATACACTCAGGGGCCCAAGATTGGGCATGTTAGGTTTCTTCGTGATCCTGAAAAAATTCTTTAAGAGTTACATTAAAAACACAAAGCCAATTAAACATGTACAGCATCACATTGCACAGAGTACTGTTTGACAGCGGTAACTCCACCGATGCATTCAGAAATAAATCCTATTTAAATCAGTGGGATTTTACTATTAAGTATTTAGTAATTAAATACTTTGGTAATTAATTTAATATTAAGCACAAAGGGCACCATAGGCAGAGAAGCATGTAGAATTGATAGATCATTAAACCACCAATTTCAACCCTCTGCCATGATATGCCTAAAGCACAATGGGATATGACATTCGTTTATAATTTGAATAGTAGGCAGTGGAGCTGAATCCCAATTAAGTGGGCATCAGGTTGCAATCTCAGCACTATTTATTTTTTTATTTTTTTAAAAAATTTGATTTATATGCCGCCCTTCTCCGGAGACTCAAGGCGGCTTACAATGCGTTAAACAATAGCCTTCATCCTTTTGTATATTTTATACAAGGTCAGCTTATTGCCCCCACAACTGGATCTTCAATTTACCTACCTTAGAAAGGATGGAAGGCTGAGTCAACCTTGAGCCTTGGTGAGATTCGAACCTGCAGTAATTGCAGGCAGCTGGTCTTAATAACCAGCTTAATAACAGGGTGCCTTAGACCACTGTACTACCAAGGCTCTTGATTAATTTATTAATTTTTTATTAATAATGTAATAATATTTATTAATTTATTAATTAATTAATAACTAATTAATTAATTTTACAGGGTTTATAGGCTGCTCCAGTCACCTCCGAGCAGTGTACGATTCCATCTCTGTGACTTGGATTCCAAAGGAAATAAAACTACAATTCAAAAATCTCATAAAACTACAATATTAAGACTTAGGCATTTCCTATGGCGCTTCTTTCTAGTGCATTGGCAATTGACATCACCTAACAATTACCTCTACCATATCTACCCTAACAACTTTTGCTTCATCCACTGATTGCCTTTTCAAGCTCTTTATATCAGAGAGCACTGCATCAGGTCATGGTAGTCACTTCCATTTCATTTCATTATTATGTAATTATGGCAAAGTAATTATCATTTTTCTACTTAGAGCGTTTTTATTTTATTTTGAAGCCGTGGTGGTTCAGTGGTTAGAATGCAGTATTGCAGGGCTAATTCACGGCTCACTGCCAGGAGCTCAATTCTGACCAGCTGAAGGTTGACTCAACCTTCCATCCTTCCAAGATCAGTAAAATGAGGACCCAGATTGTTGAGAGCAATATGCTGACTCTGTAAACTGCTTACAGAGGGCTGTAAAAGCACTATAAAGCGATATATAAGTCTACTGTTATTTCTCTCAGGTATTATCTGAAATGGCTCTCGAAGCATGGTGTTTAGAAATCGCAAAACATCTCCTTGGTTGTATGTGAGAGAAGACAGTGCATGATAGTGCATGAGAGCCAGTTGGTCTAATGGTTATGGCACCAGGCTAGCAACCAGGAGATCGTGAGTTCTGGCCCCATCTCAGCCATGAAGGCCAGCTGGGGACTTTTGGCCAGTCACTCTCTCTCTCAGCCCACCTATCACATAGGGTTGCTGCTGTGGGAAAAATAGGAGACAGAAGGTGTTTTAGCTATGTTTTTTGAAGCCGCAGTGGCACAGTGGTTAAAATGCAATACTGCAGGCTACTTTTGCTGCCTGCCGACTGCCTGCAATTTAGCAGTTCGAGTCTCCCTGGCTCAAGGTTGACTCAGCCTTCCATCCTTCCAAGGTGGGTAAAATGAGGACCCAGATTGTTGGGGACAATATGCTGACTCTGTAAACCGCTTAGAGAGGGCTGCGAAGCACTGCGAAGCCATATATAAGTCTAAGTGCTATTGCTATGTTTGCCACCTTGAGTTATTTGTAAAAATAATAAAACTGGGATACAAATTTATTTATTTATTTTATTTATTTTTATTTGATTTTTATGCCGCCCTTCTCCGGAGACTCAGGGCGGCTTACAATGCGTTAAGCAATAGCCTTCATACTTTTGTATATTTATACAAAGTCAGCTTATTGCCCCCACAATCCGGGTCCTCATTTTACCTACTTCGAAAGGATGGAAGGCTGAGTCAACCTTGAGCCTGGTGAGATTTGAACTTGCAGTAATTGCAGGCAGCTGATGTTAATAACAGTGCTTTAGTCTGCTGCGCCACCAGGGCTCTGAAAGAAGCCCTGTATGTATTGTATGTATGTATGTATGTATGTATGTATGTATGTATGTAATGTATTGATTTAAATAAATCAATACATAAATGGTCAAATAAATAAATAATAAATGTTCTCATAAGCCTATCACTTAGAACTCACAGTCTCTGTTTAAATCTGCCCCTGGCTGATTGGGGGACTTTTTGGTCTAGGCCCTAGAGAAAAGTTAAGTGTAAGAGTTTATTCTTACAGGCGATTAGGCAGCTGCAGGGTGAAGGAGACTGCTAATTATCACAGTGGCAGAGACATCCCTCTTGGGGGTTTCATGTCTCTGATGGCCAGTGGGAGGCTATGAAATTCTTCCCAGTCTGGCCCCTGCAGAAACTAGAGAGTCTTTGGTCTCAACCAACAGAGCTAGAATCAGAGGGCATTTACAAAGATGCGCAAGCTGCTCTCCGGAGAGTTTCTCTCTCTTTGATCAACTCTTTGAAATCAATTGTTTCAACAAGCTGTTTGGTGGGCTGTAGGTCAGTAACCCTGACCCCCCCTTCTCTGCCCCCTTAGTATTTGTCCCCTCCTAAATTTCAGTTTTGCTAAATTTCCGTTTTCATTCATCCCATTCATCATAATTTTTCACTATTCAGTTTAAGGGGCCAGTTTGATTTAGTGATTAAAGGCAACAGGCTAGAGAGCAGGAGACTGTTAGGCATGAAAGTCAGAAGGTATTTTCAGCCTTTCTTTCTTTTCTTTTCTTTTTTTCTTTTTCTTTTATTCTTTCTTTTCTTTTTCTTTTATTCTTTCTTTCTTTTTCTTTCATTCTTTTCTTTCTTTCTTTCTTTCTTTTTTCCTTCCTTCCTTCCTTTCCTTCCATTTTTCTTTTTTCTTTCTTTTTTTCTTTTTCTTTCATTCTTTCCTTTCTTTCTTTCCTTCTTTCCTTCCTTTCTTTCTCTTTCTTTCTCTTCCATTCTTTCTTTCTTTTTCTTTCCTTCCTCCCCGCCCCCTCTCTCAGCTGAACCCATCTCACAGGGTTGTTGTGGGGAAAAAAGAAGAGAAGGAAGGAGTATTGTGTATATTCGCTGCCTTGAGTTAGTTATAAAGGAATAAAGGCAGTTTTTTTTTTTTAATCTAATAACTACATTAAGCGGGGGACCTGGCGTTCCGAGGGAAAGAGAGAGGCGAACCCTTACCTTCCCCGCTTTTTTTTTTTTTTGCAGGATTTCAAGCGCTGCTTTCCCGCTCCTCTCCCCAAAAGCCGCCCGATTGAGATACCCATCCTTTATCCGCCTTCTACTCCGATTTCTTTGCTAAGTCACTCCAGGTTAAGCCAGAAGGGGAAGAGTCAAGGCAAGGAAAAAAAAAAAAAACCGCGCCACGCCACGCCGAGGTGGGGCGGGGCGGGCGGGAGCAGGTGAGGTAAGGGCAAATACCTCTTGAGGGTGGGGGCTTCATTTTCGCAAACAGTCATGTGCGGCGCCCGCGCGCGCGGAGAAGAGGGAAGAAAAGGAGGAGGAGGAGAGGAGGAGGAGGAGGCAGCGGCAGCACTGAGCTTGCGCAGTCAGGGGTGGGCCGTTCTGCTTGTTGCTGCTGCTGCTGCTGCTGCACCGACCGAGCGCTCTCGGTGCCGCTGCAGTTGGTGACTCGCTTTTCAGCACCTTGGAGAGCTCCTCAGCGCTGCGGCTTTATTCCCCTTGCAAGGAATTGCTGTAAGGAGGAAAGGAGCCAGAGGGAAGGATAAGGCGCGGCAGATCTCTCCCGGTATCCCCACAGAAAGAGAGGGAGAGAGAGAGAGAGTGAGAAAGAGAGGAAAAAAGAGAGAGCTGGAGGGACAGAACCGGCCTCCCTGGATGAAGAGTAAACTGGCGGGTAGCAGCCTTTGATCTCTCTCTCCTTCTCTCCCTAGCAGCAGAGCCCGCCTGGGGAGGCAAGAGTTAAAGCCATAAACCCACGTAAGCTTGGGGAAGACGGCGGCGGTGCGTTCTCCGCCGTCCGCTGCCTCCGCCGCTCTTCGTTGAAGGCTCCTTTCCTCCACCCGCCACCCGATCGGCTGGTGATCCTCTCGCTCCTTTAGCTGCGATTGCGAAAGCAGGCAGGAGGAGCCGGAGAGGCATTGAAGGAAGGGCGCCAGAGCAATCAGTCCGGGCTTTTGTGCCGCTGCCCCTTGTCGTCTCGTTCTCACCCGCCGAGTGCGGGCACTAGTCTGCGGCCAACATGCTGGACCCGTCGTCCAGTGAAGAAGAATCCGATGAGATCGTGGAAGAGGAGAGCAGCAAGGAAGTGCTGGCCCCAGCAGCCTCGGGGGCTCGGCTCTCTCCCAGCCGGACCAGCGAGAGCTCTGGGGGCGGCGGTGGCGGGAGTAGCGGCGGGCTGCAGCCCACCAGCCGGAGCGGGAGCAGCGTCCGGCCTTCCAGCCCGAGCCCCTCGGTGGTGAGCGAGAAGGAGAAGGAAGAGCTGGAAAGGCTGCAGAAGGAGGAAGAAGAGAGGAAGAAGAAGCTGCAGCTTTACGTCTTCGTCATGAGGTGCATCGCCTACCCATTCAATGCCAAGCAGCCCACCGATATGGCACGGAGGCAACAAAAGGTAAAGTCTTGCTAAGGGGAACAATAGAGGTAGGCAGGTTGGCGAGGCAACCAGACCTGCCCAGAGAAATATCTGGGGAAGGTCCAAGGCATCTGGGTATGAAGAAGTCAGAATCCAGAGTCAGGATGAATCCAGAGTCAGGATGAGGAATGGAGACCGCTGAAAGTTTCTCCAAACAGACTGTCCAGGGCCCTTTCCTTTGCAAGTTTTCCTGCAGGTTGAGGGGCAGTGCTGGAGGGGGCTTGGCAACCAGAGAGTTTATGTAGAGCTGTGAGATCAACTTTCTTTACAAGATCCTCTAGAGGAAGGTTGTTAGCAGTCCCCAAAGCTCAAGGGAAAAGCAATTTGTATTTGGTGTGTGTGTGTGAGAGAGAGAGGGAGGGAGGGAGGGAGAGAGAGAGACGGGGAGAGGGAGAGGGAGAGAGAGAGAGAGAGACTGGCACCTCTGTCCATTGGCCTGTCCATGGAGATGGAACCTGAACAGAGGCTGGTGGCGTCTGCAGCAGGAGAATGCAGCAGGAGCCGAGGAAGCTGGAAGGACATCAGGGGGACACAAGGCCTCACGTCCATGGGAGTCGTAGTACTTTCTGGGAGAGGCGGAGAGTAAGCAGGAACCTCCCCCCCCCCCCGAGAGTTGGGGTGGGAGTGTAAAACAAATCCTCAGCAGGACCAAGAAGTCTAAGCGTTACTGCATTGGCAGCATTCATGTCAGCGAGAGGTCAGATGACCTATTGCCTTTCTTGGCTGCTTTTCCCCTTGTGGCCTTACATAACTGCAGCTAATGCTAAGAGGGAGCTGGCATTTTGCTCCAATCCCCGTATGCCAAAGGAGAAGAAAAGCAGTGAATTAGAGGGAGATGTATGTCTTGAGCTTTGAGCTTTGTCCTTTGTCCTCTGCCATTCCCAAAGAGTTCCCCGTTTTTCTCAGGATTTTCCTGGGAGAAATAACCAGTCCATTGCTGTCCTGGAAGGTTATGCCAATAACACTCACCTGCTGTGCTCATGCACAGAGGGAACCAATTATTTCTGGGATGTTTCTGTGTCCTTGCTGAAGATATTCTAGCCATAACACTTCTTGCTGCAGTGTTTGATCTCTAACAATAGTGGAACATGTTTCACATTAGTTCACTTCACTTCTTCTTGTACCCGTCCCTTTGAAAGCAGCCTGCACAGATGGGTCCTGCAAAATTCTATGACCAGAGATAGCAATGCCTGCAGAGTTAAGTCTTGTGATCTTGATGGCTCCTAGTAGTAAACATACAGTACAATTACACTAAATTTAAATAGCACCGAAGAAGCTGTAAAAACTAGAATGATCCAAAAGGCGAATGTAAAGGTTCATATATTTGATGCTTCATTGCTATCCATTCTTTCTGGGGGAAACGTGTTTAAAATATCTGTATTTAATTCTATATTCCGTAGGACGGGTATTTTCTACTGAACAGTTGGTATATTGAAAATAAAGTGATTTCATGTTAGTTTTTTTGTTTGGTATGTCCTAGAAACAAAGCAGAAACAAATGCTGGAGGTTATTTCATTTGAAAACAGACTTCGATAAAGAAAAAAAAAACAATAAGTGATTTTCCCCAAGGTCAGCCAATGAATTTGTGGCATATTTTTATCCTAGGATGTCTTACTGTCGAACTCAAAGTAACATTCCAGTTAGCATCAAATAGTTAGTATTTGTGGCCAGTAAGTCTCACTGAGTGAAATGGGAATTTTGTAGGGAGGAAGTACATATAAGATTATGACTTTTATAGGGAAAGTCTGGGATATAAGGGAAACTTTCCACTGATATATTGCAGAGCCATCATTCAGAGAAGAGTTTTCCACTATCTAATTAGACCAAGGTATGAACTGTTTACATTAAGATCCTGGGATGAGTATTGATAGAATGTTATATCAAAATAAATGAAAGAACATTGTTTTTTAAGAAAAATAGCAAATTCTTCTGTCTTCTGTTCCAATCTTTGCCTTGTAAACAGCCACAGACATGAAAACATTGGATTTATGTTCTGGTGCCAACATAAGTGTTTGCAGGGCAGAAAGCTGAGTAATCTCACTCAGCCTGCAAAGTATGTTTGTATTCATGTGTATTTTTTTTTTTTTTGAATGAATAACAGCTTCCTGTTAGGATATACAGAAATGCTCTTCTCCAATCATAATGCTTAACATGACTGATGGGATGCACTGAAAGGAAACTACTAGCAAACCCATGTCTTAAAATGGAGAAAACGAATTCAGAATTAAAGAGAGAGGCACTCAGGTGGACTCTGACACAGGCAGAGTCACTCGTTTTGTGAAATGGGTGACTCTATAAGATAGATAGATAGATAGATAGATAGATAGATAGATAGATAGATAGATAGATAGATAGATAGACAGACAGACAGACTGACAGACTGATTGATTGATTTAATTTGGCAACCAATGAAAAGACACCTGTCAGTTTTAAGGGAATGTTTGAGGAAATGAATTGGGTCCAGGAGAATCAGGAAGTTCTTTAGCCAACTATGGAACTTACTCATCAGACATTAGTTCAATCTAACTCACATGGTGATAAGATAAAAAAAATGTCGACTTACAAGAGCACCACTTTGAGCATCCTGAGGAAAAACAGGATATAAATGTGACAAAAATTTATATGTCACAGATAAATTTGGGTGAATGTTTTTGCCAAAGAAATCTAGGAAACTTAATTATGGCTGCCTCTTCCCATATTCCTATTTTCCAGTCAAATGAATCTCTGGTGCACTTGGGTTTTTTTGTAATTATTGTTCTACCAAATACAAAAAGATCACATTTAGATTCAATTACTCTTTGAAAGTTTAATTCTGAGGAATGTAGATTAGTTTTATTTCTGCCAATGACCTTTCTATACCAAAATGACTCTAGGACATATTGATGAGGATGACATTCATTCAGCTCTGTCACGCCACAAAGCTATTATTAGTTCATTCAAGCATGAGGAAGTGGGAAAGCATATCAGGTCAACGCAGTTTGAAGATTTTGATGTGGACAGAAAGCCAGATTATTACATATGTTTCTTAGCTGTGTGTCATACTCTGATAATAATACCAATTAAATTTTATATCCTTGTCTTGGAACTCCTGCATTGTACAATAATACGTTATGGCAAAGTTATATTTTCTCCATTCGTATGTTCTTTGTGTTGGGTAGGGAAAAATGAAAGGTGGAACATTCATGAGGTTTTGCAAAAAAAATAATGCGGTGATGAACAAAACGGATCAGAAAATTTGGCCTCCATATTTAGAAGACTTTGATCCAAAGGTCTGATAAGCCACAATCATTGATTGGCCTTGACTTGCAATCTGTAAAGTCGAATGTTACTCGTTGTGTCGGGCTGCTGTAAGAAGGAGGAGGGGAAAATGTTATATCTACCATGTACGTTGTGTAACTGAACAACAGTCATGTTCAACAAAAGTCAATCAGGTTATGGTGAAATGAGAACTAGCATTGTCGGAAGCAAAGAGCTCAGGAAACTTGACCGGGGGGGGAAAAGCAATGTTGAACAACATGAATATACTATATGTATCCTTGTACTGAATCAAAACAACAATAATTCAATTGATATCTCAAAGTGCTGTCTAATCTAGCTAATAGTAGTTCTTCAGAGTTTTTCAGATATTTTTCCCTTCAGGTCAAATATTGAGATTCTTTTAACTAGAAAAAATGAGAGGTTAACTTTAGGATATTGCATGCAGGATGCATATGTGCATGACTTATTTATAAAATCATGCATAAGGGTTGCACTTTGAATTTGATTCCACATCTCCTTTGGAGTACAAGAGCAAAAATAGAGCATCTACTGTATCAGTACCCCTTTAAAATAGCCACATTTTCCCCTGGGATCAGAAGCTGCTAGCCAAATGTGGAGAAAAGATGCAGTTGCTTTAATAAGTTGCAGGCAGCTACTATGTTCATGCATTTACAAGGCTACTTTTAAATCCAAAAAACAGTGCATAACTCTAAAAGAGATGCTAATCTGTTCATTTCTGTTTTTAAGACAGGCGATCTTTTTTACCGACAAATTAAAAAGTGAAATGAATTCACCTTGTGGTTTTCCTATGGTGTACCCAGTGTTACATTTCTTTTATACCAATCAATCGAAGTTTGGACAAGCTGAATGTTTTTTTTTTAAAGATATTTTAATAGGGATTGTGATGAGAGCTCATGTGCTGTTTCAAACAGATTGATTTTAGAAATATATTTGCTACAGTAAAATGACTCATTTGTTCCAGATCCACTTGGAACTGTTGACAGAGATTTTAGTATTCTGAGACAGAGTCTTGGCTTTGTTTTATTCGGGTTTTTTTTTCTCCTACACATAGCTTTCTTCTCTTCCCCACCCAAATTAAACAGTCTCTTCCAAGGAAGGCAGCTTTTGACACATGAGCGCACAATTGCTAAGCAGCAGTTACACTGTTGTGCTTATTGATTAGGGACATGCCACCGAATAGTACAATTTAACGGCTTGTCTCCTTCAGGCAGACAAGGATTACGGCCCTTTGCATCAGTTGCAGGTTTCTTAATTTATCAGGTACTTACTAAATTCATGTCCTAACTCTCCCAATAAATAGCACTCTGCATTGCTCGCAGCCATACAGTACTGATAAAATACAACATCTTAATAATTGAAGAAAATAAATTTAAAAAAGACATTTACACCTGTTTAAAAGCTGCTTGTTTTTGTTGTTGTTGTTGTTTAAAGACATCTTAAAACCAAACAGCTTGTTGGAATAAAACAATTTCTTCTTCCAGGCAAAAGAACAACAAAGAGAAGGGAAGGAAATTCCAGAATTAGAGAGCAGACATCAAGAAGGTCCTATTTTGTGTTGCCAAATGTGACTCAACAGATGATGGGACCAAAAGAAGGGTTTAAATTCTTGGGGAGGCTAACCCTGAGCAGACCCCTGCTTTCAAAAAACAAACAAACAAACAAAAACCCAACCCCGCATGATGCTCTAAGACATAGTGTTG